AGAGATATTTTTTTTTTGTTTTACCTTTATATATATATATATATATATATATATTTATATTTGAGTTTCTCTTTTCATGTTATATTCTTCATTGTATACAATTATGATTTTTATTTTATGTATAATTTTTTGTATCGAGATCCAACTCTGCTTAAATCGTATTTTTATTTGAATATTTCGTGTTGAATTGAGCATACCCTATAGCATTTAAACAACGAACCCGACTTTTTTATTAAGATAATATTACTCCATCGGTTCTTCGCTTTTGATCATAAAATCACCTTCTCCATCATATTATTGTCCTTTCCCGACTCCTTTATATTAATTATTAATAAATAATTAACAAAATTGTTATTGTCTGCAATTGTTATAAATTCATTCAAAATAAACTTCTATATGGTTTAAAAAAGCTCCCTTATTTATTCGATTCGTTATGATTTTTTTTCAAAAATATTCAGCAGAAAAAACGGGGAAAAACATTCCACATAAAAAAAAATGATTCTGCGTATAATTTCATTGGAATTTATACCTGTGCGGCTAAGATGGATATTGGACAAGTTCATATATTATATTATTTTTCATATTATATTCCACCAAAATATTCTGATATTAGAATTAAAAATGTTTCACAAAGTGAATTGAGACGGTCAGATGATGCAAGCTCATGACGTGGCATCATCACATTTGAATATTTCTATGGGCATGTGCACACAGAATCCCTCCTCTTCCTTTCCCCCAATCACTCGCCCAACCCACTCGAGATTCCCGGGAAAGTGCGAGAAAATCAAATAACACGAAGCTCTATCCCCGGGAAAATAGTGGAGCGACATGAAGAGGCCGTCGCCGTCGAGCTCCGATTTGGACTCCCCGATCCGATCCGAATCTCCGGTTACTCCTCCCTATGAATCTCCTGCACTATCTCCGGCGGGATCGCTAGTCGACCAAGCAAGAGACAAGGAGTTTCCTCTGGGGTCGCCGGACAATACGCCGCCGTCGAGGTCTCCGGATATGATTCCGGAGAAGCCATGGACGTCTTCTGTTTCCACGGAGAAGCCGCAGATTTGGATAGATAACTCGATGGCAATCGTGGCGATAGACAAGTCCACTCAGTTCTCTCCTTCTCCGTCGCCTCCGCATTCGCTTGATCGTAATACAGATTCAGAGGAGGATAAATCACTGCAGGATACTACACAGACGACGAAAGCGAAAAGCAATTTTTCGGCGAAGGAAGAAGCGAAGTCTTCGGAGGAGAAAAATCCATCTCCGGTGGTGTTGTACAATCGCTCTGTGAAAGAAGGGGCTCCGCCGGTGATGAGTAAGAGCGCGCCAGCGAACTCCGCCGGTGCCGGTGGTAGATCGAGGCCGGTGCTGGCCGTAATGAAGAGGACGAGAAGGGAGGAGCTAGTAAAGTTTGCCGCTCTAGGGTTTCGGCTAAGCGAGGTCGTACTGGGCTTGATATCGTTCTCCATCATGGCTGCTGATAAAACTCAAGGATGGAGCGGCGATTCATTCGATCGTTACAAGGAGTATAGGTAACATTTGTTTCCTGTCCTGTGTTGATGTATGAATTTGGGATTGTTAGATTTGGCATAAAATGGGTCGTGGACAACCTATGCTTTGATGGTGGCAAGAAGAAGAATGGCGTTGAGAACTTGAATGGGTACACATTATTCTTGCTTGGAATTTCGAAATGAATTGGAACTGTATATTTACTAGAGATGACCGGTAAAAGTTTAGGAGTTATTCTGTAGTTCATACATAGGTTCGAATTTGTGATTTGTTCAGGTTATCGTGTCCATTTCTTTAGAGTACTTTGGTGCTCAATCAGTCTGTTCTTGTTTACATTACTCTGGTACGATTTTGAGTCTTAAAAGTCAAGTTGTTCTTCCTACACTGTAAATCGAATGAACAATCTGGAATTCTAATAAAGATGAATCTTTTCCGGTAAGTGTTTGATTTGTAATCATTGGAAACTAAAATACATATTGTTCTTGTATATAATGTTTATATGTTCAGAATTATACATTTGTTGAATTTGTTTACGAGATTAAGATATAGGAATCGACTCTCTTTTGATGGTCATTTTCTTGTTTTGATTTGCGACATCATAAATTCTCCTTTGAGTTGAAACTTGTTTAGGGTGGTGTGTTGTACTTTTGTTTCCCATCTGATTATATGAATTAGTTCTTTGAATTTCTCCAATCACTCTACTTGGGACTGGGAGACGTTCTAGTTGCTGACACATTTCCTTACAGGTATTGTCTATCCGTAAATGTGATTGCTTTTGTGTATTCTGGCTTCCAAGCATGCGACCTAGCATACTATCTTGTGAAAGAAAAACATTTGATCCACCACCACCTTCGTCCTCCTTTCGATTTCATCATGGATCAGGCAAGTCATTGGCTGGCTGACCTCTTTTCTTTTAATGAATCTATTTGTCATTATCCACATTCTCATAAAGGGTGCATGCACTGTGTTATTTGTTTGAACATCGTTTATTTTTTAAACTAGTTTGCTCAATTTGGTCGAGGAGAAGACTTGGTTTAGGGATAGAAATCTTTGCTCATAATACATATGATGCTTTGGCTAGCTCTTTCCACTGGGAAAGCCCAGTCATTGATGATAGAGGCAAACAAATATACACACATAAATTTCATTTACCAAAGGCACAGGGGGAGAGACGAGATAGAGTATAGTAATACTTGTGCACAATAGTTAAATCTTTTTTCTATTGGTGGGGGCGTAACTTTGGCTGAAGGGCACATATAGTAGTTTGTAAAATGACGATGGAAGCCACTTCCTTCATTACGAGTTATAAGTGAATACAATTGCTTGTTCTAGGATTGAAGGGTTTCAAATTTACTTTAACTCTTGGATTGTGTTTCGAAAATCAGTTCACTCAATAATCTGTGACTGAATGGAAAAAGTGGTCACGTTGAGTTATTTTGTAACCCGGGTTGTGCCCTGAGTTGGGGTACCTTGCATTTTGCTATCAGGTACTTGCATATCTTCTGATATCAGCATCATCTGCTGCGGCCACTCGTGTTGATGATTGGGTCTCGAACTGGGGGAGAGACGAGTTTACCGAGATGGCGAGTGCTTCGGTCGCCATGTCATTCCTGGCCTTCCTCGCCTTCGCTTTCAGTTCTCTGATTTCAGGTTATGATCTCTTCGCCAAGGAATATATCTAATCTAAAACACCTCCTTATACATATACAGTACAGTGCGCACACTACAGTGTACTCCACCCCCCAAGAACCATTATTAGATTTCTGCATCACATGTGAAATGTGTCTGTAGTCAGTTTTGATTAACTAAAAGGAAAAAAAAGAAGTGATCTTTCTATGTATACCTCAGTGTTTCAGGAGGTTGAGGTTGAACAGTTTGAATCCAAACCGAAACCTGATCCAATTGTCTTAATAAAATATGTGTCAATGACCAGGAAGTAATTGTGTATTCATTCATTTGATTATTTTTGCATTCCACAGCGGTTCTGGTAAAATCTTTCATTTACTGTGGGTGTTTCTTCCTTCTAGAAGGAACGGTGACTCTGTCGTAGTTTACAACATCCTATAGCATTTTAGGGTCGAGAATCGATGTCGATCGACGTGAATCCGTGAAGAGAAGAGATCTGATGGGACGAGCCATGGAGCTTTACGAGCCAGATTCTCGACAAGACATGGACGTAAAATTGGCATCTTGCGGTAATCCTTTATGACCTTTGTAATCTGACAAGATTAAATCGGAGTAGCGGCGGATTCACTTAGAATTTGATAATCTTGTCAGATTATAAACAACTTCCGAAAGTAGAATGGAACGATGTTCATGGGATTCCGAGTCAAGTTTCGTTCCGTTATCGAACGTCGTTTGTAACACAGCGGATATGAATATTACATATACAACTTGAACCGTGTGCAGTCGTAACCGACATTGACCAGCGACACATTAGTATTATTATTGTTAAAAGTATCTCCATTAAAAAATATGTTAAAAATAAATAAAATTATATAAAACTCCCAATTAAATACCTAAAATATTTTTCTCATATGATGCATCAAATATTTAACATTTATATATAATTATAAAAGTTTTCAAAATATTATTAGTTTTAACTAAAATAATATTAATTAATATCATCTTAATTCCAAATTTATTTGGGATCGGTCGTATAAATTTTTTTATTTTCAATCATTTCGGGTTTTAAATTAGTTTTTACCAAATGTGCAACAAAAACTCATCACTTTTGAACTACTAAATAGTTGTGTTGTTCTACGTGGAGTTATCAAGACAAGATTTGATTGCATGATCTGCCTCATTTCTGACATGATGAAGCAGCTCTATATCATTATATTTGTACAAAGTCTCATATTTTTAAATTACCACAAACATTATTGTAGTTTTGGACAAAAATACACCATTTTTTTTAATTTTGAATATACATACATTAGTATATTGAAGAAAATACTAAATGTTGATATGCTTTTATAGTTATCTATCAAATTTAATGGTTACTCGCATATACCTTCAACTACATATAATTTTTTTATTTCATATTTCAATTTTAATTCAAATAAATCAAGAAAAGACAAGTTATTTTATTATTGAATTTTCTACTCTTTCCTATTCATTTTCTTCCAAATGTAATGTCATATCCAAAAGGAAAAAAAATGTGTTATTCAGTGATGAAAAATGTTTAAAAACAAATTAGATTATGAAGATAGAAACATCATAAAACATAACAAGTAAAAACATTTTACTTAAGGATATTTGAAAGCATTTTTCCAAAAACAAAATTATCTCCAACAAATATTTTTTTATTAATCATATTTATGCATCAGATATAATATTTTATCTAACTTTTTCAAACAAAAAAGTTATAATTTTTTAAAATGTGTTTAGAGTATAAGATTTGTTTTGTTTAAAGTTAACAGTTTCATATTTTTAGGAAGAATTTAAACAAGATTTTTTTTGTTTAAATTTATTTTATGAATGTAAAATATTTTAGGATTTTTTAATGATATAAATGTTGTGGTGAAAATCTAATAGTTTATGGTTCTTAATGAGATATCTTCATATCTCATAAAAAAACGTAAGATAATCATTAGCCCATAGGAGTAAATATTTCGCGTTTTAATTTTATTTTCGGGTTTAATTTTTTAATTTTGAAAAATTATTAGAATGTATATCGGTTAAATGTTGGTTTGATTTAATTTGATTAGGGTTTGTTAGTAAATTGTTATGAGATCAAACCATTGAGATAGCCTTTTTTCTTGATAATGAATCCAAGTTAGATTTAGCAGGTCATATAAAATCCCTACCCTAGTGGAAGTTAATATTTGGAATTTAATAAACAACCCGTTTTTTTATTATTTTTTTTAGAAACCATTAGAGATGGTATAATTGAAATATTTGAAAACCGATCTCATATTCGTGGGTCTCAAAAATCCGAATTGGTGAACACCTACAAAATAATTTTATCTAAAATTCGTAAAAGTAAATAAAGATGATTTTCTATTTATTTTTATTACATTGATGATTATTTTTTTAAAAAGTTAGATAATGACAAATAATTTGTATTTTTAATAAATATAAAAAATATTTTATAATTAAAATATTTTGTTTAATCTAGAAATTCACCGGATTTTCGATTTAACTATATTTAGCAGGTACACCTCTTCCCCAAAACCATGGGTTAATGTTAACTTAAAGTATAATCCCCTAAATAGCGCTCAGATCTCTAATGAAACGAACAAGACAACCTTGAAAATCCTATGTATTGATAACTTGAGAAAGTCTAGTGTCCTCATTAGACATGAGAACAGTGGAACTCAAGAACGGCGGTTGCTTTGGAAAGGGACATTCACAGTCTCTATTCTTTAACATCGCAACTATCTCCGACATGGACGGCCTCATAGCAACCGAGGATTGGACACACAGTAACCCGATCTGAAGAACCTTCGAGGTCTCTTCCTCGGGAAACTTTCCCTTCAGACGAGGATCCACGGACCGAGTCAATGCGTTTGCTTCGAAATGTTCCCAGACCTGTTTCATTCGGCATCGAAGATTCATCATGTTCAGTAAGATCTTGTCAAAGCTATTTTGATGTGCATGATCCCAACCACTAGGAAGGTCTTTTCGGGTTTTCATCAGATCCGTATATGAAAAAACATAATACGTACGGAGTACAAAACCGAGTTAGCTCCTTTTGTGAAGGCGCTGTTTTTCTTCCCCGTCGCTATCTCGAGGATTAGAACTCCAAAGGCATAAACGTCGGTTTTCTCAGTTAGTTGGCCTTTGATAAGGTATTCTGGAGCCAAATATCCCCTGTACGTACCAAAAGTTTTCAATAAATATAGAAAACCAAAACCTTAAAAAACAGATGCTGATCCTTAATAACACTCACAGTGTTCCAGCAATGCCGGTGTTAGTATATGTCTTGTCAGGGCCAACGGAACGGGCCAGTCCGAAATCAGCTATCTTTGGAGTGAGGTTTTGATCAAGAAGAACATTCCCAGTTTTTATGTCTCTATGAATGATCTTCACTCCGCATCCTCCATGAAGATATTCAAGCCCCTCTGCTATTCCTGTGATGATATTCAATCTTTGCTTCCAGCTCAGAATGTGGACTGTGTTCTTCACTGCATTGTTATATCAGCCCAGATGGAATTTTCACATGTCATAATCACAAAGCAACGAATTTGCAGATGAATGAATGAATGAAATCAGTCTACAACGGTAGTAACATGGATTCGGTCTTTAGATGCGGCTTACCAAAGAGGATTTGATCGAGGCTTCTGTTAGGAACGTATTCGTACACCAAAAGACTCTCTGGGCCTTCGATGCTGCAGCCAAGAAGCCTCACAACGTTCTTGTGTTCGATTCCGCTGATCAGGTTCACTTCGTTGAAGAATTGATCCGCCCATTGCCGTGTGTTGAAGAACAGCTTCTTGACCGCAACAGTTCTTCCATCCGGAAGATCTCCCTTGTACACGGAACCAGCCCCTCCTTGGCCTAGCTTCATAGAATCACTGAAAAACTCTGTCGCCTTCTCGAGAATCTCGTACTTGAAATTCGAACATGATGGATTATGAGCTAACAAGGAGACGATCATGAAAAGAAACGTAATCAGAAAAACACGAAACGTGGGGAGATACGTGAGGCTCTGATGTTTGTATTCACCTTTTCTCTTCTTCGAGAATCGCTTGTAACCCAAAAAGACACCAAGGCAAGTAAGGATGGACAATGAAACCACAGCGATTGTTAGTTTTATAATCTCAGGTTGGCTTAGAACAGGGAAAGGTGATGAGCTTGTTAGTCCATTTTTCCCTGCAGAAGCAAAATCACATATCAACCATGTATATATTCTCCAATCCATAAACATTACTACTATAACATTGCGAAAAGATTATTTTATTTTGATGATGACAAAAAAAAACTATAGGGGTAGAGGTAGTAAACTAACCAAATCAGCATAACATTCATAATAATGTTCATTAGAACTTCGGTCCAACTAATCCCGTAGGCCTAGAGGCAGTCTTTAGAGCAATTAAATTGTCGCCACCTCCCTATCTGTGGAATCGAACATGGGACATCTAGGACAAATGGCTCCCAACTACTTCTACAAGTAGAGCTACAACCACTACAAGATGGGTTCTCTAGGACAAATGAATTAAGATTTGCAACTTGACTAAACAAAATTAGCAACGCCAAGCAAACCCATAAGCGTAAATGGAACATCTTTACACAATTTCATATCATGATGCAGATGTGAATGTTCCTCTCCAATCATTGTGAATTTATCCAAACTAATACTAAGAAAAAAAAACAGTTGAACTTCTGATACCCACATTCGAGACAGAACCAATGATCTTCATGTAAGCCGTAAAAAAGAAAAGAAAGAAACCATTTCAGTTCAAACTCAAAGAAAAGGCAATGAAGCTAGTGTGCATCCAACATCTCAAGGACAAGAACATTCATTTCACTGCATGAAACAAGCAAAGATAATAGAAATGAAAAGTGGAAAACTCCTTTACCATCATAATGTTTATGTTCTGCGGCTTCGTCAAAGAACCTGCGTGTAGAATACTTCAGATAACAGCCAGTGAAAAAGGCCGTAGCTTCTTCTTTGCCATTGCAAGTCATCATGCTCGATCTCGCTGTCACTAAACAATCCCGACAAGAATTCTCGTCGAGCGTGTGCCAACACTGAGCCAATGCGTACACTGCTACGTGACCCTCACCACTACTGGCCACCGCCACCCCAAACCCGCCGTTCCGGACAGCCTTAAGAGTTACATTGACAAAGGCATGGTCTAGATCACTCTCAAACTCTCTAAATGCGATACTTGACCCTGCGTTTGAGCACTTCACTTGATCGAATAACGCGTCCAAGTTCTCCTTCGAGAAATCCCGGTTATCGAACCGCAAGAAACAGCCATCGCGATGGATTCGAGCCCAGTTTGAGCCAAGGCAATTCGTCTCGAGCTCTGACTTGCTCTCGTTTAAGCAATTCCGACAAGCAGAGACGGAGAGGTCTTCGTGACACTGTACTAAGAAGTAGATGGAAGGAGACTGGTCGGAGGAGGAGGAATAAACCCAAAGCTTGTCGTCAGAGATGAGATCCGTTACAGTGGCCATTGCTCGGAAAAAGCTGGCGAGGCGTCTAACGTTTGCAGGTTGATCAAGAGGGTTACAGAAGAGGGTTCCAGGAACAGACGCAGATGAAAAATTTGCGATCACTAGTACGGGAAATGAAATCCATACAAGGAAATGAGTGCTTGTGGACGAAAATGGCATCGGAAAGTGAGATATCTCCGATGCGCTGGAGTATCGAATCTATGGAAAACATTCATCAATATACCGCAAGAACGACCCTTTTCATTTTCGATTCTAGGGTTTCCGAGTATTGGGTCTCGAGAATAAGATCGAACAAAGCTCCTAGATCGAATTCTGATCTCGATTCCGACCCAGTTTCTCGTTCATACCCAGTTTCTGCATATGGGTTTCGAAATGTCTCTTCCTCCGTTGTCCCCCTCCGATGGCGGGAAAAACGCCGGAGGAGAGAGAACCTGGAGGATGGCGGTATAGATGAGATCAAGAGACAAAAAAAAATTATAATAATCAAAAAAGATTTTCTCTTTTGTTCATTTTTCTTTCTCTCCGGAATGGGATTTGCCAGAGAGAGAAGACGATAATTTTGGCTTTGCAACTGCTTAATTTAGAAACATATGATGAAATTTTAAATCTATTACAGTTTTTTTAATCTAATCAAATTACAGTTTACAAAAAACCTAAATTTAGTCCAAACCTGTAAAAATATTTTTTTATTGGAAACAAAATATATGGTAAGATATGAAACAGAAAAAACTTCTTTTGCCAAAGTACAAAACAAAATCTTAAAACATTTAACAATTAAAAAATTCAAAATTATTTAATTATAAAAAACATAAAAATAAAATTTCAATTATTCACAGATTCAAATAAATTTTAAAATTTTTACGTAAGAATTTTAAGAAACATTATTAAAATTAATGTATATACTTTTAATTTAATTTAAAATGTATTTACAGTACCAATTTATGGTTATAAAAATATTTAGAATTAGGAATGAGATTCATGGATTGTCCACTAGTTAAAATAAAAAACGTCTATTTGGATTTATACATATTAAAAAAAAATATAAATAATTATCCATCTTATAAGATATCTATTTAAAATTTTAATTATCTACTAATCCAAATAAATTTTAACTTTTAAGAAAATGTAAAAAAAATATAAACCATTTTGAAAACTCAACCTAACATATATTGTTTTAAAACATATATAAAAGATAACAGCTTTATAACATATATTGTTTTTATTATAGATGACGCGATCTTCATTCTTCCCTGGAGAATTGGACATTGACAATTTGACATATATGTGAAGGCTACATCTAAACAAAGCCAAAAAAGGGTTTTATTGTAATTAATCTTTTAATTTCGTTTAACATATATTTCATTTTTATTATCAAAATTAAAATTTAATTATGAATTCAATGTTGGTGAGATAATAGTCTCAATATCAAAATTTGTCCAACACAACTTCACGTGCCTTTGCCTTTCGTAAACTAGACCGAACATCCAAAAATTCTATTGGACTAATTTTATATTGAGTTTGTAATATTTTATATAGTATTAGATATTTTTTAATTAGTATACTTTATTTTTGTAACAAACTTGAAATTTTGAGACGGAATAGATATTTTTTTCTAAACGACAAAGTTTTCTAAATAACATTTAACTATGAACCAACATCTTTAAATCTTATACATTTAGATTAACCATTGTTCGACTCTCTGTCAACGCACTAAATGATAAAAAAAATCGGTTTAAAAGATTTTTCCATTCTTGTAGCAAAATTCGAATTTCTAACTTCTGATTAAGAAACAAAGATGTTGAATTATCTACACTAACCTTTTAAATTAGCCAAAATACAAATCTTAGATGTATGCAAAATGGAATGAACAAGTCATCAAGCTTTTGAAGGCAAAGGAAAACAAGCAACCAAAAAAATGATTGGATAAGAATATTCCACGTTTTTAACAAATATATATATATATATATATATTCCACGTCAGACAAGCTCACTCGCGCCCACAGGATCACGATTCACGAAAGTAGTGTGGGCCCAATGGATTAGGATATGATGCGGGCATTATGCATATAACTCATTCAAAAGACAGAATAAAAGCTTTTGATTCGCTCTCACTCTCATAATTTATATTTTTGTATAGAAGACAACCGACACTTTAAATATTATATATTCCGAGTAATTTTCGTTTACCGTCAAAGATTGCTTCGCAGAGTTCGAACCTTTATCTAGTTAGATACTCTTTGAAATTAAACTTAGATTCATATATATAGGATATCATGGTCGCGGCTCTACTTATATATAAGTGGGGCACTTATCCCTATTCACATTTTAAAAATATATATATTATTTATAATTTTGATTAAATTGTAACAATGTCCCATTAAAATTTAAGCGGGTCCCTTCCGTTTTTTTAATCCTAAATTTTTTTTTTCAATTTTTTCTTCTACCAATCTCACATTCTCCTTCATTTTTTAAATTTTTTTTCCAACTCCAAAATAATTTTATTTAATCTTTTATCAAATAAAAAAATTATAAGTTCAATAATAATCAAATCCAAAGGACTAAAACCAACAAAAATATGCAAGTATTCTGAATTTTATTTTAAATATTTTTTATGTTTTATTTATTTGTTTTTATATTTTTATCATATTGATAAATTTGTTTTTATATAAATCTCACAATTGATTTAATAAAAAAACCAGCTGTTAATTCCTTAAAACAAATTACAGTATAAAAAATTTAATGATCTATTTAACAAGATAAATTCAAAATTGCTCACTTATATAGCAGTTTTGAATCCAATTAAAACAGTTTTGTACAATCGAATTGATGATCAACATTTGAATGATTGTATGGTTTGTTTCTTTTCATACAAAAAAATTATTCCAAACAATTATAAATGAAGTTGTTATCGATAGATTTTAAAAAATGAAAGAAGGGAGAATTTAATTGTAAAACAAAAATATTACTGTGATGATATATATATATATATATATATATATATATATATTATAAACGATGGTATATTTTTATATTTTATATAATATTTATAATTGTTTCCCCATTGAAAAATTTTTTTGGATCCGCCACTAACAGGGTTGAAATTGGAAATGATTATGAGTTAGTAATTTATAATTTATTATTTATACATATTATTATTATTATTAATCTCTAATATTTTTATTTCAAATTGTGTATTATTATGTACTCCACGTTATTTTGATATACATATTATCTTTTTTGTCAAAAACATTAGTTATTATAAATAAATATAGATTAAATGATGGTACGGTGGAATTTTTATTTTTTATTTTAACCGAATTGAATCTTACGATGGTAGAGAGTATATTTCATCCATCTCGTTTTTATATTATTACTATCATCATTCATTACTTTAAAAATAATCAAAATATTTAATATACTAGTTTTAAAATTTTCAAGTAAACTTCTACCTATCTAATATATAGGTTTTTTAATAAATTTATATTATATATACTCAATTTTTATTCTATTAATTCTAAAAGATTATTTAATTAGAGAAAAATCTCAAATAAATATCTCTATTTCTTAAAATATGCTAAATAAATATCTATATTTTTAATTTATCTAATTAATATTCCAAATATTAAAATATATCAAATTTATACCGTAATTTATAAAATCGATGATAATTTCCAATTTTGAATTATAAGATTGAAGAAATTATTAAAGTTTTCGTACAAGTTGTTGTGAATACTATAACAACACGACCCATTCTTAAAAATACTTAATATCATATGTGAAAATTTGTTCATATAAATCTTCATATGATATAAAACAATTTATGAATTGATATCGATTTCATGAATTGGGTATCAATTTAGAACATTTGAATATTTGAATATCAAATTTAGAATATTTTTTATATCAATTATACCAAATTAAAAGTTTAAATACTTATTTGGCACATTCGAGATATTTATATATGATTTTCTCTTTAAATTTAAAAATCTTATATCATAATTTATAATTTATTATATATCTCAAATATTGTACATAAAGGTGTAAAATGGGTTAGTTCACATCGAACATGCCCAACTTTCAGTATCATATCGATCTCAAAATTATTTAGTCTAATCCAATCCAACCTTTTTCTTAGCCAAAAAATATTTGACTCAATCCGACTTGTTTTATATCACGAGGCACACGAGTTGGTTCATGAACCAAATATCTATCTGGAAGTGTAAAATGAGTGACTTAGGCATAAACTTTTTCAGGTTGATCTAACCCAATACGGTAACATTTCGGGCCTACATTTGAGAGTTTGGAGTCTGACTTTATAGGAATTTAGATGGGTTTAGATCGAGCCTTGGATTTTTTTCGTTTAATAATAAAAAGTCTAATTTTATTCATGATCGGAGTGCAATTATAAAAAATAACATAACAATATACGTTTATACGTTTATGTATAAAAAATTCAATAAAAAATATTTAAAATTAATAATATGAGAGTAAATTATTCAAAAACAAAAAGAAAGATCGAAAGAAATTAATATTAATTGATATTTATAGTCAACTTATGAATTCGTCGACTTTACATCACAATAGATTATGCCATATTTAATAATCAAATTCTAGATCAAAACTAAATTTGTGTTTTTTTACAAAATATCGACACAATAACCTAAATGATATGATTAATCATTGGACTCTAAAGCCGGTATAAGAACGATCGACGAAATCTGAAGTTGTATCTTTAAATTTTTTGGCATGGCAAAAAATTTACGAGCTCCCATGTTTGAAGTTTGTTTAACCAAGTTCCCAAAAAAAATCAATTTTTGTAAGTTAAAAAATCAATAAAAAATTATGCGATTGAATAAGGTTTTTTGTCACATCATCAATTTAATTATTTTTAGATCATTATGAATTAAGATTAAGAGCACATTTTTAAAATTTATCATTAATAGCTTTTAGTTTATTTTAATATGTATTCTCATTGAATTCAAAACGTATCCTCTAAATATTAATAATAATTAAACTCTCCTAATAAAATGAACTACTAATTTAATTTTTAGGTGATGGAGGAAGAAATATAATTTTGTGGTATCCAAAAATCTATTTATCGAAATAATAGCTATAAGTTATCCTATATAAAAAAAGAAGATTAAAGAATTTTGTCAAAGAAATGCATATGATGTATACCAATATAAAATGAATAATATTACATTTCGAATCTTCACCTGAACTCTAAATCTAAAGTTGCAAGAGGAACACTTACAAATTCAATTTTAAAAATTTTAAATTGCAATTCTAAATCAGATTTTATCTTTTAATTATGAAATTTAAAAACAACATTAGCTAGGTTTTAAAGAAAAACGTATTTTATACAATTTTATTATAAAAATATTTCAATAATTATATTATCCTATTACATGTTGAATATAAAAAGTTTCATATACTATATTCAATTTTATTACATGTTGAAATATTAATTTTCAAATTATTTAGTGTTGCTCATTTACTCATAATTTTTAATGAGAGAATATACTTCTTCTTCTATTTAAAAAAAAAATATTCTTAATAATATAGAATAAATAAGGAATATTTTAGAGGATTTATCATTAAAAATATAGTTTGCTAAAGGAAAAAACAGAAGAATAGTGCACGACGTGATTATTATTTGATTCCTTTCCCAAAATAAAATTAAAAAAAAACGTTTGTTATATTATTTTGGTGAATATATATCCACTTGGAGTGCTTGGCTTTTAAATATACATCTTTTTACCAACTGTCCTACCCTACCAACCACTTCTGATCAGTCGTCTCTCTGCGATTATTTGATTCCCTTCCCTCTTCCTCGCGGTCCTTCACCGTAGAGATCTGATCGGAGGGGGAGATACGGAGAGACAGAGAGGCTGAGAGATTTTGCTGTATGTCAATAGACTGTGTCGAGACTTGTTTCGGTGGATTTGGAGAACTCGTTAACCCTATTCAATGGCCTCAGCTTCGCAAAAGGCGACGCCATCCGGCCACCGCTTTCTCCCATCCGCCGCCTCCGGTCATGGTTCTCCTCCGCCGGCCGTCTCCGCCGTGTCCAATGCGATCGGCGCCTGGTCCGTCGGAAACGCCGATGGCAACGATCAGCAGACTGCTAAGGTTGCCTTGGAGTCCCTGATGCGCCCTGTCGATTCGATTCCTGATACGACCCAAAAGCCCGCAAACAAAGGTACTGTGAATCTCGGCCTCTCGCTGCATGCAAAGGCTCATAGGCGTCTTTCCAAGTATTTGGGTTTTTCATCTTCCGTCACCTTTCTTCTCTTTTCGCTTCTTATTTTACGCCTTCCGGTTTCCTTGTGACATTTTCTGGGTTTTTTCGCTTTAGTTAACCTAACTTGGAGCCAAATCAGTCATAGGAGATCGTTTAACTCTCTTAGATTCTATATTCTCGGATTTTTTACGTTCACGTAAATTTCTGATTTCTATAGAATTTTCTCGCCCGGTAAAACGATGGGTACTTTTTGTTTTCGCTTCTTTTTTTTTTTAATCTTGCTGTGTCTTGTGTTTCTCTTTTTTTTATTCTCTTGCTGCTGTCAGTGTTGGATGGTTCTATTTTCCCCTTTTATGTCGTATTGTATGATATTTTTGTTACAGTTTGACAGATTGAATTGACCCTCTATGATGTCACCTAGCCTGTTGAATTGTGGGAGTTCATGGTGTTGGTGTTTCTGTGATGTCACTTCTCTTTGTAATTTTTTTTTCGGCAGTTGCAGTTTCTGTTTGGAGATTATGAACTCTGTGTTCTTGTTGATGCAGGGATCTCTCTGATGCCAAGAACTGAAACTAAGCACCCTTTGGATCCTCTGTCTGCCGCTGAGATATCCGTCGCAGTGGCAACTGTCAGGGCAGCTGGTGCTACCCCAGAGGTGTGTGGGATTTCCTTATGGTTTCAATAGTGTACAATTACGCTTATAATGAATATGTTTGTGTGATCGTTGTGTTCACTATTCAGTCATTTGTGAGGGTTGTCATAAAACTTCATGTTTCCTGCAAACTTTATCAGATTTTTGTTTTCTATGAAGAAATGCAGAAGATGGGTATGTTAACTTGAAGAGGTACTATGGTTTGGATTCTTGTTGTCCTCTCAAAGGCCATGGGTTCAAACCACATCTTTGTGGGTGTCTCTGCCTGTGTCTCTGCGTTTGTATGTGCTCGAGTTTGCAGAGACTCTTTACCCAAAGATAAAATAAAATAAAAACCAGAAGAAAAAATAACATATTGTGGAAATCCCTGACAAGTGTTCCCATTGCAGGTTAGAGATAGTATGCGTTTCATCGAGGTGGTGTTGGTGGAACCGGATAAACATGTTGTTGCACTGGCAGATGCTTACTTCTTTCCGCCTTTCCAACCGTCTTTACTTCCCAGATCCAAAGGCGGGCCTGTAATTCCTACTAAGCTCCCACCAAGGCGAGCTAGGCTTATCGTTTACAACAAAAAGTCAAACGAGACAAGTGTATGGGCAGTTGAGCTCTCTGAGGTTCATGCTGTCACTCGAGGTGGGCATCACAGGGGAAAAGTGGTTTCATCACAAGTTATTCCCGATGTTCAGCCACCAATGGTATGTTTCAAGGAAATCAGTCTCTAAATGAGTTTTACATGGTACTGTTTGTTTATCAGTTTCCATGTTTGATATCTTGTGATCTTAGGATGCGGCTGAATATGCCGAATGTGAAGCCATTGTCAAAGACTTTCCTCCATTTATAGAAGCGATGAAGAAGAGGGGTATTGCGGACATGGATCTCGTGATGGTTGATCCCTGGTTAGTTGACTTCTCAATGGTTTCTGCTGTAAGTTTTCAATTGATGTGTACTTTTCTCTTGTAAGCTTGGATCTGAATTTTCTGTCCAGGTGTGTCGGTTATCACAGTGAAGCTGATGCCCCTAGTCGTAGGCTTGCAAAGCCGCTCATATTTTGTCGCACCGATAGTGACTCCCCAATGGAAAATGGTTATGCTCGTCCAGTTGAGGGCATTTATGTGCTAGTAGACATGCAAAACATGGTGGTGATTGAGTTCGAAGATCGGAAGTTTGTTCCGCTTCCCCCACCTGACCCTCTGAGGAATTATACCCCGGGGGAAACTAGAGGGGGTGTTGATAGAAGTGATGTTAAACCTCTCAACATTCTCCAGCCTGAAGGTACAAGCTTCCGTGTCAGGGATTATTTTGTAGAGTGGCAGAAGGTACATTTTTCTATAACTGTTGAATGATACGAGACTATTACGCTTAAGCCTACTTCTAAAATTTTTCACCATCTTGTTCGCAGTGGAATTTTCGTATTGGGTTCACTCCAAGGGAAGGTTTGGTAATTCATTCTGTTGCTTATGTTGATGGCAGTGGAGGGCGCAGACCTGTCGCCAATAGACTAAGTTTCGTCGAGATGGTTGTGCCTTATGGGGATCCTAATGACCCGCACTACAGGAAAAATGCTTTTGATGCAGGGGAGGATGGTCTTGGGAAAAATGCACATTCACTTAAGAAGGTTTGAATTGCATTGATATGATATGTCCTGTGTTCAGATCTCGAGTGATGCTTACCGAAATGGTTTTTGTAGGGATGTGACTGTCTTGGCTCCATCAAATATTTTGATGCTCATTTCACAAACTTTACTGGAGGGGTTGAAACAATTGAGAATTGTGTATGTTTGCATGAAGAGGACCATGGAATTTTGTGGAAGCACCAAGACTGGAGGACAGGATTAGCCGAAGTCCGAAGATCTAGAAGGTTAACAGTTTCTTTTATATGCACTGTGGCTAACTACGAATATGGATTCTACTGGCACTTCTACCAGGTGAGTGAGAGAATTTATCATTTTCTGAGTGAACCAGAAATCTGTCATCGTTATATATCATTATTATGTGGAAGGAAATGAAGCCCAGAATGATTTACTCTCCCTTGATTCTTTTAATATTCCATGTAGCTGTATATGTTGGGATGTTGTGTGCATTACTTCTGTCCAAACTCTATTTGTTTTTTTATAGGAAGGTTGTTTCATAACAGAGAATTCAGGAGCAATATTATTTCCATCTTGATAAGATATTTTGCCATTGCTCTTTTGTCACCACTGACATTCATACTGCTGCAGGATGGAAAAATAGAAGCTGAAGTAAAACTTACTGGTATCCTCAGTCTCGGGGCACTGCAGCCCGGAGAAACTCGAAAATATGGTACTACCATTGCACCTGGGTTGTATGCACCAGTCCATCAGCATTTCTTTGTTGCTCGCATGGATATGGCTGTTGACTGTAAACCTGGTGAAGCTTTTAATCAGGTACCCTTTTCCAGAAATGGTGTTTTTGTTGTTTAATCACTCGTATCACATATCATATCACATTATCACGCTGGGCTGATATGAGTTACATGGACATCATTTCTAATAATTTTGTTGGCTTTCCATTGTAACTTCCGTCCCTATTAATTCTAGAAGCAGTTCTTAGATAGTAGACATATTTTTGTGATCCTTCAAAAAATATGTTTTTGCACAACGACAGAAACAAAACTGTGAGCCGTTTTTATGTAGGTTGTCGAGGTAAATGTTAAAGTTGAAGAGCCTGGTGAGAACAATGTTCACAATAATGCGTTCTTTGCGGAAGAAAAATTGCTTAGATCTGAGGCTGAGGCAATGCGTGATTGCGATCCTCTTACCGCTCGCCATTGGGTTGTAAGTATTTATCCTTGTCCATGCAAAATCAATTGCTCGTTCTCCGTTTTGGACCCTCCTGGCTTATGTCCACTACTAATATTTGATGATATTTGTATATATTTCTATTAATGTCCTAAGAGTAGCCTAGGCAAGAAACTATTTCATCAAACCTTAAACATCAATTATTGCTGTAGTCAAATTATTCTTGCAAAGCTTCCATTTTGGACAGCATTTGTCACTTATTCACAAAACTCTGACCCTTTTCTTATTTATAAGCATTGCGATCGGTTACTACTTTTTCAAGTGATATGTTTCTGGAAAATCTGTATTCCACACCTTGTGATATGTCAGGTAAGGAACACAAGAACTGTGAACAGGACGGGCCAATTGACGGGCTACAAACTTGTTCCTGGTTCAAACTGTTTACCATTAGCTCGTCCTGAGGCAAAGTTTTTGCGGAGAGCTGCTTTCCTGAAGCATAATCTCTGGGTCACGCCTTATGCTCCCAACGAGATGTTTCCCGGTGGAGAGTTCCCAAACCAAAACCCGCGTGTCGGTGAAGGCCTTGCTACATGGGTTAAGCAGAACAGACCTTTGGAAGAATCTGACATCGTTCTTTGGTTTGTTTTCCCTTACCTTTTCGACATATCAGAATTCAGAGAGCAATATGAACTGTTTGGTAGTGATTTCTGTCTCGAATGGCAGGTATGTGTTTGGAATCACACACGTCCCCCGACTGGAAGATTGGCCTGTTATGCCCGTCGAGCATATTGGCTTCACTCTAATGGTAATCATCTTAGTTCCGATCCATCTTTTACGTGAATTCAACACTGCATTTCTGATCGGTTATAAAATTTTGGTTCCCGCAAAAGATTCTGAAAACGAAGCCCTCTTTTTTCATGCAGCCACATGGGTTTTTCAACTGCTCTCCTGCAGTAGACGTGCCTCCAAGCCTAAGCCCTTGCGAACTCGATACTAAGGACAGCGATGTCAAAGAGAATGTCGTAGCCTCCAAGCCTATTCAGAATGGCGGCTTGCTGGCAAAGCTCTGAAGAAGGAATAGTTTGCTCTCTACTAAATAAGTCAACGAGTGCTTTAAGTCCCATGACTTTGGTTGGGGTTATGTTGTCTTTATTCTGTTGCTTTTGAACTTTGAGACTTTGGGTTTGTTTCATTACAAGCGACTTCGGCCTGCCCAATGCCATAATGGTCAGACATTGTGTCGTGTTTCAACGACTTTCCTGTTTGGTTTCTTGATGCTGCTTCTGTCTTGAAGGATTTGTTCAATATGCAAAAAAAAAAAAAAAAAAAAATTGCTACACAATGGAGATTCCGGTTAGATTATGCAAAATTATTCTATATAAAATTTAAATGGATATACTTTTTTTTTTAATCCAAATTGAATAAGAAAAACTAAATAAAAATGTTTTTTGTAGAAAATATGCAATTTTATCATTACGAATCGAAGCCGGTATATACTTTCAAGGTCCGAATTAGAAGCGAATATATTAATTCTACGTAATTCATTTAATTAAATCCATCCTTGTGCCTCTTATCTGATACTCTGATTCCAGTTATCCTAATTTTATTTCTTTTATTTCTATTTTTTCATCACAAACCTAAAATTTTTTAAAAAAATAAGGAGGAGAAACAGAAGAGTTATTGAGATTTGAAAAGGCCTACGGGTTTTACCATAATTATTTGGTTACGGTATTTAAATCTGAATGAAATTATTACTGTATAGCGAATCCAATTTAAAATTCCATATAATATGATTTTATTTACACCTAATTAATTGCATGGAACACAAATTGAATATGAACATGACTTTAATCGACAAAAAAAAAACGAAAATTGATTTATAGGTAATAGCATGTTTTTTCGTGAGAATCGAATATGAACAAAACACGAACCCATACCAAAATTGAATAATATAATTTTTCAAAATTTTAAAATAAAAATAACCGAACGAAACCGAAAATATTAACCGAAGCAATCTCATTAAAATTTAAAAAAAATAATGAGGGATACTAATACACATTAAAAAAGAAAATTAATAATTTTTCTTCTGTAATTTTATGTGCCGAAGGTAAAAAAAAAAACTAAATAACAAAAATAGAAATTATAACGTTGGAAAACTTTGGTTTATTTGGCTGCTGTTTAGTGGCAACTTCTCAGCTCCGTAAGGCCATTGGCATCATCATCGACAAGTAAATAAATAACACTGCACAAAACAAAAATTCTTAAATTTAAAATTATTAAACATACAAAATTATAGGCCAAACAATGGATAAATTATGAGAAAGACATGTAAATATTTTATATTTATTTTATGCTGGTAAATATATGCATATCATTGATATCAATGCATAGAGGGATGAATGTTTGTAAAAAACAGTTCTATAAAATTAGTTAAATATTGCATGTGCAATTTTTTTGCTAGTTAATTTTATGTACTCTTATAAATTACGGAATAATATATAATAGAATTCTTTTTAATACACTCTAAATAATTTATTGTATTTTACACACAAAAAAGGTTATATCATACATTAAATAATAGTTTAGGCAAAAAATCACGTACCAAAAAAAATCGTGTAGATGCAGAAAGAAATCGAGTACTGAACTCAATTGGTATATGAATGAATGTTACTTACGTGCTATATGGTGTGCTTCCACGCTTGGATATTCCCCACCGGATGATGGTACAACTGCACACAGTGAATCGGTAACGTTTTCATAAGAAAAATATGTTATTCCGTAGATAATATTTTTATTTTTATTGATTAGGTTTATATTTTATTTAGAAACAAATTTGTATGACTATTTAGGATGTCAGATATAGACGATGATGTCTATTATATTTTTATTAATATTAAAAGAAAACAAATTGCGCCTTTATAAAAGTAAAATCTATAACCTAAAACTAAATTACCGTAACTGCTAAATCTTGCTCATAAAATTCGGATCTAGCATTCATATAATTTGGAAATTTTTAATACACGGCTCCAAAGATGAAAAAACCACTTGCTAGTTGCTACCACTAAAAATTCATAATATATAATATAATTATATCCAAATCGAATTTCATTTTAAAATTTCGTCAAATCAAATTAATCGTATTCAAACCGAAACAAAGTATAAATTGACTTAAAAATATTGAAAGCAAACGAAATCTAATTCGTTGGAATTCGAATAGAAAATAAAATTCTAATAGAATATAGACTGAATCAAAATGACTATAATTGAATAAATATAAATTTCTAAAATAAATTCAAAATTCAAAATTAGACAAACCAAAATCAAACACAACATATACAATTCTAATATATTTAAAAAAAAAAAGAAAAAGCAGGTGATTTGTTGTTATATACTGACCCGAATCACAGTTGGTAGTGGAGTTCACGGTCCCACACATGCAAACATGCCTAAGCCCGCCGCCGTCACCAGACTCGTACCCGCATGTTCCCGCGGTTGCAACACACGCGCGGCAAAACGCGTCGCTCCCTTGGAGATCGTACTTGACCCGGATGCCGTAGGCCCACTCGGCGGGTCGACTCGGCCTGAGCGGCGCGAGACTGTACGCGCTGCTGTACCCTTCGCACTCCAGCTTCGTCAGGTTTATTGCCTTCATGGACTCGAACCCGACGGCGCAGCACTCGGGTGGGCCCGACCCGAAACCCGACCCGGATTCCCGACCGGGTTGTCGGTAACCAACCATTTCCCACGCGGGGCACGACAAGTACTCCTCGCAGCCCATTCCGGAGACGTTTCGGCAGGGTAAGCGCATCTCGGGGAAACCTGTAAACGAGATATTTAGATTCAGTTGATGAAAAATAAACAAAATTCCATAAACAAAATCACGCATTTTAAAATAATCTACATAGAAATTCTCATTTTTGTCACCCAGTTTTGTAAGATTTTCGAAATTACAAGTTTTGATTCATTAAAATTAGAAAAAAATTTCTTATAACGTTCTCATTATTTTATAAAATATAGGTATTAAAATTCACAGTTTAGTTGATGAATGTTTTTAAAAAATATTGAATATTAAAATCGAAGCTTATGCAATTGTGATAATTTTTTATGTTGATGCATAAAATCTCCTTACGTTTTTGCATAAAATCTCATTAAAAACGAATTTGCATGACTGAGAAAATTTCTTATAATTATATTATATTTAGAATTGTTTGTTGATGAAATATTATATTTAGAATATTCTATACGTGGAAGGAAAAAATGTTGAAATTTTAAGAAAAATGACGTTTGAGTATGTTTAGATTTTCTCCAACAAACTCGGAAGTCTTCATCTAATCCTGTCCTAAAAAAACATTAATCAAACGTACTATCCCTATGTTGTGTGCACATTGGACCAACAAAACCAAAAAAAAGAAAAAGAAAAATCAAAGCACTTGAAAATGGAAAAAAAAAGAAAAAAAAGAAGGGAAAGTAACCTTGAAAGAGAGGAGATCTAGGAGAACATCCGATCAACATGAACACGTTTTCAGGCATGGGATTGAAATAAGGCTGACGCCAATCCTCCACCTGAAACCCGTTCCCCTTGCCTCCGAGAACGATCGTGTCGCACGTCGACATGTGAGGATCGTGCAGCGTTACCGATCGATAAGCGTAGTCGATATCCAACACTCTGTACGATCCCGAACTTATGTGAAACATCAACACATCGTTCATGCAAAACATGAGATCTCTGTACCCCGGATTCCCGCATCCCTCCTTCAGCCCGAACGGGTAGTCTATTGTTATGTTTCCGCAGTATGATCGGCATGAGTTAATCCCCCGAAAATCGGCTACAGTTATGGGGATCAAGGATGATAAGATGAACAATAGAGTTTTCATTCTCTCTCTCTCTTTTGTTAATTGTGTAAAGCAAAGGAAGAATGGCGTGATCTTTGATTATATATATATATATATATATATCAGTGAGAGTGAGAGTGGTATATGAGGTTAAGTATTATGAAGTTAGAGATTCTTTGCTTGTGGGAATTGCAAAGGTGACTAAACCGAGTCTTACTTTATTTCACATGAAGGCATCACGAATCGGAGTGTGGACCTTTATCCTCATCATCATCATCATCATTATTACTATTATTATTTTCTTAGTTTCGAAGATTCTTTCCACCGCCTCCAAATTTGCTTTTCATATTATTTATATGTTGTTATGATCCTTTGGCAGACAAGAGAAGATTGTTAGGAAAAGAATTGCTATTCGGTTGCCTTTAACGAACTAAAAAAGACATAAGAGGACATCTTATTATTTATTGTAGGTTCAATAATTAAATATATACGTAGATTGTGAGATAATTGTTCAGTTTATTATATGCATATATTATCCAGTATATTGTACACGCTGTTCAAAATATAATTTATGTAAAAAAGGGCTGCATGATTTTAAATTTCAAGAGCACAGATATATTTTTGTTTATGTTATGGATAATTTCTGATGTTAATAGTGTTAAAATATCGTTTCATGAAATCTAAAAAAGTGGATTCTACGTGGTGAAAAATATACACAACAAAAGACAAATTACTACCATTACGTACCCCCAGCAGAATTCCACTCATGCCCCTCCCACATCCTTCACAGTTGGCTCAGCCCCCCCTCTCGACCGAAGCTCACTTGCAAACCCCGAGTTCACCACCACAAGCCACGACTCTCAATCAGGCTGAGAAAAGCGACGAGAGACTCGGAAACAGTTGGCGACCGAAATTGCTATAAGCCAATCACTAGCATCAAATCTGTGGATGTCAAGGTGGAAGTAGATCTAATGAAGCCTTCGCCGGCTTATAGGAATGTGTTCTGTTGCATCCTCCATTTCATCAGCTCCCCCGACGCCCAGAACCACCGAAAAGAATCCACCCCATACACAAAATGGACACGCCATAAGCTCTCCCTAAAGCAGGCCCGACCCCGTAAATACCCATCTCCATCCCGACCATACCAATGTGACACTTGATCCATCCCACGACCCTCCAACGGAAACCATAACGCCACCCAAAAACAACCACACAAACCTAATACCCTGTCCCTCCTTCCTCTAGCCAACCAAGCCTCCGTAAACCCCCTCCCTCTATTGCAAGTCAGAGCGAAGGAGTTAGAAACTTATAAAAAAACTTGTTGTCAAGAACAAGCACTTGGCTGATGCTTTCAAGATTAAATGCGCAGATCCAACTGCAACTTCGAGGGGTACGGGTGTGACTGGTGATAACGCAATCGCCCACAATCGCAGCGATTACAACTTCTAGCGATTACGGGTGATTGAAAAAGTGAATGTTGGAATCGTAATCGTCTGCAATCGTAACAAAACATCAATATTCTAATCGCAACTAAAGATTGCGTTACGATAGCGTTTTGCAGCGTTTTGGTTAAATAACCAAAATACCCCTAATATTAATTAATATATATATATATATATATATATATATCCATATATATAATATA